CCACCACCCACCACCCATCCACCCCCCATCTATCCATCCATCCACGCATCCATTCTTCCTTCTTTTCTTCCTTACAACTGCCCTCCCTCCCACCCATCTGCCCACTCCTCCGGCAGCCTGCTGGGCTGCATACAGCCCAGTAGGGCCGCCTCTGCTCCAGAGGAGAGGTGCCCAAGCCCCGGGTCCGTGGGAGTGCCTCACCCCTCAGCCTCTGTCTGCTCACTGGCATCCACACAGGGATGCCCAACCCACCCCGCCTCTCCTGGATGACCATGAGCATCCGCCTGGGAGAGGGCTGGACGAGGCACGTGTGACTCTCCCAGTGAAGGCATGCCCACCACCTCCTGAAAGTAAATGGTCACAGGCACTTTCCAAATGATGGTCACACTGGTGACCCCAGGACCTTCCCACTCTTCATTTCAGCCCGAGTGAACTTCTCCCTCCTGCCATTCTGTCCCCCTGTCCACCTCCAGCACCCAGACCTAACTCAGCCCAGCACTCACACCTGCCAATTGCCTCCCTGTCTCCTCCCAGCACCCCACCAGCAGTCCATCCAGAGCAGGGTCTCCATGCTTGCCCTATCCTCTATAACCCCACCAGAAGCATGCATGCCCTGGGGACCAGTCACATGTAGAACCACCACGGATGATTCCATTTTGTTCATCAGTGTCCCATCTGAGGAGGCAGCCTGCATCCAGGGTAGAGCCAGTCTTCCCTGAAGAAGCTAAAGCCTTCTTCTGTGGGACAGGGCTGTCTAATCTCTTGAGCCCTTTTCCCCTTGGCTGCTAGGAAGCTCAGAACTTAGCTCAGCCTGTGCCTTTGTACCTGTCATAGCCTTGGTCTTTTCTCTGGTAACTGAGCCTTTCCAGTATGATTACACTGTCGTCCAATGGTGCCGTTGCCTTGGCCTGGCGAGCAGTGAAGCTGCATTTCACGCAGATTGAGTTGAGGTGGTTTTTATTGGAAATGAGCAGACAGCATGCTCTCCCTTCTTGCCTCTCTTCTCCTCTCTCAGACAAGGACCTACCAGGGGCCAGGGCTCACCCTCTGTTGTACAGGTACCACCACGCATCGTTGCTCACCCCACCCAAACCACTGGGCAGGGCTCAGTCCCCAGAGCTGTCAGCTCCCCCAGGTCATGTGCACCCATCAAATGTGCAGTAAATCTTAGCTGAATGACTGAATCGTCATTTAAAATCTTCCTGAAGTTGAACATTGTTCACTTTTGCAATTTTTAAAATAAAAACATCAAATTATCCAAGCCAAGTTAATCTAAAGTTCTATAAAACAAACCATCTTTTTTATTAAACCAAGGAGACATTAAGGTGCACTTCTTGTTCCCATCTAGGGTTTGGGGTTCAGAGGCTTCTGGGGGACTTTCAAGGTAAGAGGAACTAAAATGCAGATCCAGGGGAGCTTTGGTCTGGGTCCCCAAGAGTGTTTGGGGTTCAGTCAGCCTTAGTGCTAGATTGCATGCCCACAGGGGTGTTTGAGGTCATGGGCTTGATGGATACGGGTGTCTGCCTCTCTGTGACCTGTGGGAGACAGCCCCTCGGAGGTCCCCTCCAGCCTGGGGAGCAGAAAGCTTCATTCATGTCCTGACCCAGGGGGTCTCTGTGGCCTGCGAGCCAAGGGCGAGCTACCTGGGGCTCTGGGAGTGGGCATGGCAACAATCCCTGGTCTCGGGGTCCCTGGCAGAGCCAGGGAGCCCGTGCGCTGGAGCACTGGACCATTCCCAGGGAGCTGGGGGAGCAGGCAGAGGCCAGGCGTGGGAGCAGGGCAGGGCGGGGCTGGCCTGTGTCAGGAGGCCCAGTGGGCCCAGAGTTTTGCTGGGTGCCCTGCACGCCTCTCCCGTTGCTCCTTCGTCAAGGCGCCAGAGGCTCTAGTGCCCTGAAACTGGAGTGCGGTCTGGGCCCCGTCCGTGCCCGCCTCAGCTTTCTGCTCTGCAGACGGGGTCCAGGGGCCGCAGCCACCTGAGCCCCTGCTGGGGTGCCCACTCTGAGCTGTGGGCTCCGGAACGCTGCCAGCCGAGCATGCAGGCTGTGCTCTCTAAGCCTTCATTCTAGCTGGCGGCACGGGGGGCACGAGAGCGGCGACATGAGCAGGGACACCAGGGAGACCAGCAGGGCAGCGAGGGGGCCGCCTTGACGCTGGGTTCTGCCCAAGTGCTGTGGGGCCTCTGAAGGTACCGAGAGTAGAGGGGTCGGTTTCAGAGAATCCTGCCGGCTGTTGGACGGGAGACAATCAGGGCGCCAGCGGCCTCCCTGATGGCCTGGCTCTGGGTGGCGGCGGCTGTGGGTGAGCAGTACTTGGTCCAGGAATCTATTTCGAACCTTGAGCCAATAGAACTCGCTGGAAGGTGGGATATCTCAGGAGAGGAGCTGATGTCACAAGGACCTGAGTACCTGGGGGCAGAGGGCCATTTCCTGGGGTGGGCTTGGGCTCAAATCAAGGTCACCCAGGTGCCAGAGAAGCCCTGGCTGGGCTTCACTCTCGCTGTTGGTTCTGGTCTTGTGACGAGATGAAGTTCACATACGCTGAAGTGTGCCTCAGTGGTCCCAGAGCCTTCCCCGTGTTGTGAGCCCCCCGCCCCCCAAAGGGGTTGCCCTGAACGCTAAGCCTGCACTGTGCCTCCCCCTCCCCACCTTGCTGGGTTTCATTACCGTCACTGAAGTTCCTGCCTGGCATCTGGCCCAGAGTGGTTCTGTGGCATGTTTAGAAAGAAAGGTGAGACCCCCCCTCCAGCCTGACGGCCAGCCCAGCCTGTGGGACACGCGTTCTGTAGGGTTCGCAGTTACGATTCTGCCGACCTAGAAATTCAGCCAGGCCCCCCTGCACCCCAAACTAGCCCTGCTTTCCAGAGACCTGGGTGAGGGCTGGGCCTGATGGCTCTGGGCAGGTGGGTGGGGAGTGGGGTTCTGCTCCCAAGGGTGCTCCTAGCTGGCTTGCAGGGCGACCCTTCCCGGGAACTGCTTGGGCTCAGGTGCAGGGAGCCGCGGTTTCCTCGTCTTTCTGAGCACGACCAGGACCATAGGGTTACCAGCAGAGCTGACCGGTGGCCCCATGTGCTCCACCTCACAGGGGGTGAACCCCAGAGCCTTCCCTGAACCCCCAGACCATGGGCCCAGGCCTCTGCGCCTGCTCTGACCTCATTTCCCCCACGGTGTCCTTCATTACCGTCCACCAATCTTCTTGGTGAAATGTCTGTGTAAATATTTTGCCCTTTCAAACACTTGGGTTGTTTGTGTCATTATTAAGTTTTGAGAGGTCTTTATGCATTCTGGGCAGAGCCCTTTAGCACGTAAATGAACTGTGATATTTTCCCCTGTGGCTGGCTTTGCATTCTCTTAACAGTGTCTTTAGGCAGAAGTTTTGTGAATTTGATGAACTCAAATTTACCAATATTTTAACTGATCTTATATCTGGTGTTGTAGTTAAGAAATCTTTGCTAACCAAAGGTCAGAAAGATTTTCTCCTACAGTTTATTCTAGAAGTTTTACTTCCTGAGGTATTAGATTTAGGATTATGATGCATTTTGAATTAATTTTTTAAAATAATAGCAAGGATGAATCAAAGTCTCTTTTTTTTTTGCTTTGGGTACCCGACTGTCCCAGCACCGTCTGTGGAAAAGACTATTTTTCCTCCACTGAACTCTCTGCTCCTTTGCCAAAACTAAAGCGAGCCTCTTCTGTCCCCCTTGTCTATTTGTCTGTCTTGATGCCAACATTCCACTGTCCTGATCCTGTAACTTTGCAATGAGTCTTGACATCAGGCAGCGTCAGTCCTCCAACTTCGTCCTTCTTTTCAGACCTTTTCAGACTTATTTTGGTCTCTCTAGACCCCTTTGCATTTCCATGTGAATTTTTTTCATTTCCTACCTTAAAAACCCCTGCCAATATTTGGATTGAGGTTGCATTGCATCTATAATCAATTTGAGGAGAATTGTCATTTTTAACAATATTGAATCTTCTGACCCATGAACACAGAGTGTCTCCCATTATTTAGGTCTTCTTTGATTTTTTTATATAGCAATGTTTTGTCCCTCTCAGTGTACGGGTCTTACAGTCTTACACATCTTTCATCAAATTTATTCCTAAGTACTTTGATGCTGTAATTAATGGTATATTCTTTTAAATTCAATTTCTGATTGTTTTTCCCAGAATGTACAAATAATATCATTTTTTGTATGTTGATCATAAGAGATGCTGCAACCTTGATAACTCATGAGTTCTAGCAGCTTTTCTGTGGATTCCATCAGATTTTCTGCATAGATGATTATGCAGCCTGTGACTAAAGACAGTTTGGCCCCTTCCTTTGCAATCTGAATGCCTTTTTTTCTTACCTCCTATAAAATGTTGAATAAAAGTGGTGAGAATGACATCCTTACCTCATTCCTGATCTTAGGGAGAAATCTTCAGTCTTTCACCATTGAGTATAGTGCTAACTAAAGGTTTTTCATAGATGTCCTTTGTGAGGTTAAAAAAGTTACCTTCTATTTCTAGTTTTTATTTAGGAATAGATGTCAGATTTTGTCAGCTTTTTCTGCATCTGTTGAGATGATGGTTTCCCTTTTTAGCTCCAATATGGTAAATCGCATTGGCTCCTTTTTTAATGTTAAACCATCCTTGCATTCCTGGGATAAACCTCACTTAGTCATGATGTATCATACTTTTTATATATTGTTGAATTTGATTTGTTGAACATGTTTAAAGACTTCTGCAAATATCTTCATGAGGGGTATTGGTCTAGTTTTCTTTTCCAGTTTTGGTTTCAGGGCAATGAGTTGAGATGTTTAGGAAAAACATTCTTCCTGTACCCTCCCCTCTCCACTACAGCACTACTTTGATACTTCTGGTCCCTAAATTTGTGGGGTTTCCCCACACCAACCTGGGAACCCTGTGGTTTAACTCAGTTCTGACACCATCTACCTGGAGACAGCCTCAGACCCCCAGGTTAAGGGCTCAGTCCTACAGGACTTCAGCCCCCTCCTTCAGACACCAGTCGCAGGTCCAAGTTTTCACCTGCGTCTTCGGCTGACTTGTAGATTGGAGATTCCCGCAACCTGCTCTTCGGGTTTGATCATTTGCTAGAGTGGTTTGCAGAACCAGGGAAACAGTTTACTTACTAGGTTACCAGTTTATTATAAAAGGATATAACTTAGAACAGCCCAAGGGAATCGATGCGCAGTCAAGGTCTGGAGAAAGGGCGCAGAGCCGCCATGCTGTCTCCAGGCACGCCGCTCTCCCCACACCTCCACCTGCTCACCGACCCAGAAGCCTTCCAAGTGTGTCCTTCTGGGTGTTTACGGAAGCGTCACTGTCGCATCATGATTGATTAAATCATTGGCCATTGGCAACTGATTCAACCTCTGGCCCCTCTCCCCTCCTCAGAGGTGGGCTGGGGGAGTCCGGCTGAAATCTCCAGCCTCTAATTATGTGGTCGGTTCCCCTGGCAACGAGCCCCCATCCTCAGAGGCTTTCCAAAAGTCACTTCATTAACACAGTCAGATGTGCTTGAAAGGCACTTGTTAAGAATAATGAAAATCAACTTCACCTTTGTACTTCTGGAGCTATTTCAGGAGCTGAGGACAAAAGGTGCCCCCATAGCTCTTATCACTTGGGAAATAAAAAAGTTTTAGGAGCTATATGCTGGGAATCATGGACAAAGACCAAATTTTTTTTTTAATGAATTATAGTGTCATAAAAGTAGTTACTCATCTTCAGTTTTAAGAGGACTTTGTGTAGAGCCGATACCACTTCTTTCTTGAACATTTGATACAATCCTCCTTTGAGACCATCTGGACCTGAACTTCTCTTTGTGGGAAGGATTTTAACTACAAATCAACTTTTTAAATAGATGCAGGGCTCTTCTGGTTATTTATTTCTTCTTGAGTGAGTTTTGGCAGTTTGGAAATTTCAAGAAATGTGTCCACTTTATCTAAGTTGTCTAATTTATTGGCATCAAGTTGTTCACGATAAGCTCATTATCCTTTTCATGCCTGTAGAATCTGTAGTGATGTCACCTCTCACTCCTGACATGGATGATTGTCTTTTCTTTTTCTCCTGATCAATCTGCCTAAATACTCATAAGTTTTATTGATCTCAAAGAATCAGCTTTTGATTTTCATTTATTTTCTCTCTAGTATTTCTGCTTCCTATTTCATTGATTTCTACCCTATTATTTCCTTTCTTCTCTCACATGGGGTTTCATTTGATCTTTTTCTACTTTTTAAGGTCAAAGCTGAGGTTTTGAGACTTTTTCTTTTCTAACATCAGCACTTTAATACTAATAATTTCCCTCTAAATATCGATCTACCTATGTCACACAAATTTTGATGTAGTGTCATTCTTGTTTAATTTTAAGTACTTTCTAATTTTCCTTTTTATTTCTTCTTTGAAGATAGGTTATGGGGAAATATGTTATTTAGTTTCTAAGTTATTGAAAATTTTCTAGATACCTTTCTGTTATTGAGTTCTAGTTTAATTCCACTGCGGCCAGAGAGCATGTTTTTATGAGACAACGTTTTAAAATGTATGGAGACTTGTTTTATGGCTCAAAATAGGTAAATGTTATTTCTGGGTCTCAGACACCTGTACAGTCACAGAGTGGAGCAGCCGGGGGGAATAGAGGTGCCACCTGAGCAAGTTATGTGTATGATGCACCAACCAGAGCGCCTGGTGCATGGCTGGTGCTCCCTGGGCATTATTGATTCCCATTATTATTTTGGGGGAAGGCAAAGGAAGGTGGTAAGTTCAGGTCCGAGCAAGGGAAGCCTGGAGAACCTGTGGGATGGAGGCTGGAGAGGAGAGGCCCGCTGGCCATCGGGTCTCAGTGTGGAGTCCAGCAGGAGGGCAGGGATCACGGCTGACACGGCTGCATGGAGTCTGAGGGTGAGAGTGGCTGTGAAGCCAGAGTCAGAGCCAGGACATCTTCCTGCCCCTCGGGAGCAGCCGAGAGGAGAGGGACCGCTCCGGATGCCTGGCCCGTGGGGGCTGGGCCGCCCGAGCAGGACGCTCCTGCTGGTTCCTGCTCCAGGGGAGGATTTCTGCCCCTGCCTGGGCCCTTGGGGAGGGCAGAGGCTTCCAGAGACTCTGGCTGAGTCCTGTCACGTTTGATTTCCAGACTGGAAGAAGCGCTTCATCGGCATACGGATGCGGACCATCACGCCAAGGTGAGTGTCTGATGGGTGCTGCCCCCTGGACCCCCCATCCGCATGCCTCACCGCCGCCCTCCTCACAGCCATATGCAGCCACCTGCAGGTGCTCCAGCAGACTAGACACACTCAGGCCTCTGAGCCTTTTCTCGGGCAAGTCCCTCTGCCTGGATTATCCTTCCCCCTTTACCTGGCTGATTCCTTCAGGTCCCTCAGGACTCCATTCAGGACCCCTCCTCCAGGAAGCCTCCTGGATTAGTTTTCTGTAGCTGTCATAACAATTAATTACAAACTTGGTGGCTTAAAACAGTAGAATCTCATTCTCTCACAGTTCTGGAGGCCAGGAGTCTGAAATCAAGGTGTCAGCAGGACGGCCCTCACACTGAAGGCTCTGTGGGGGAGAATCCTTCCTCCTCTCCCAGCTTCTGGGGTCTCCAGGCCTTCCTTGCGTTGCAGCCACACCACTCTGATCTGTTTCCAGTGGCACATGACCTTATTTCTGCTTCAGATCTCTGTTTCAAAGGGCCCACTCTGGTCAGGATGACATCCTATAGAGATCCTTAACCTATTACACCTGCAAGGGCCTTGTTTCCAAACAAAGTTACCTTCTAAGGTTCAGGCATGAATTTGGGGTAGGAGAGCTCTCTTCTACCTCCCCAGGCCACTCAAGGGAGGAGGTACCCCTCTCTGCTCGCGCAGCCACGCCTGCCCCCAAGCCCTGCGCTGCTCCCATCGTGTGAGAATCGCCATTTGCGCGCCACCCCGACCCTGGCTGTGAGCTCCCTAGGGGCAGGCTCTGGGTCCTACCCGCCCCTCTGCTCCACCCCAGGACCAGGTCTGCAGTGGAGTGGGTGCCTGGAAATACTGAATGAATGAAATAAGAAGTGGGTGGGGAAGGGAGGAAGAGGGAAAGGAAGCAGAGACACAAGAAAATGCAGAGTCAAGTCCAAGGATTTGAAGAAGAAAGAGGTCATTGCATCAGGGAATTCTGGGGAGAACTAGGGCGCGCTCGGCTGGCTTCCCCAAACCCATGCAGCCCCTGACACGACCCTGCTTCCTGTTTCAGCAACTGTTGATCTAGGGATTGAATCTGAGAGCAATTTGTGATCAAGACCAATATACCAATTTACCTTTTAAATGTCCTCTTTATTTCTCTTTCACCCAAACGTCCATCCAGCATCCACACATCCACCCATCCACCCATCCACCCATCCCGTCTTCTGTGCATCCATTCCATCGTTCACTGAGGGTCTGTCCATCCCTCATCTATCCACACATCCATCACTCATTACCCCCTTCCTGTGTCCATCCGGTCGTCTGTCCCCCCACCTTTCGTTCCTCCTGCCACTCATCTTCCCACCCACCCTCCCATCTATCCATCCCTTTCCCCTCCCCACACAGCTAACCATGCACCTTCACTAGGTGCCCATGTCAAGTGGGGGACACAGACAGGAACCAGAGACATCCCAGAGTGGTTGGTGGCAGGGCAGGGCCACGTGGGGGCCCAGAGGAGGCTCCTCATCTGGCCTGGGTGGTGGAGGGAAGGAGCGGGCAGATGTGCACCAAGGAATCAGCTTCAAGGCTCGGAAGAAGGGCCTTCACAGCGGAAATGCCTTTTCAGTTTGGTGGACGAGCTAAAGGCCAGCAACCCAGACTTCCCGGTGGTCAGCAGCGGGATTTATGTCCAAGAAGTTGTTCCTAATTCACCTTCTCAGAGGTACGCTCCATCAGAGGAAGCTGGGAGGGTGGGTTGGGTGGGCATGAGGCCTGGGCTGGGCCTGCTTCACTGACCTCGTATGACCTTTCACGTCTGGGCAACATGATGTGACCTGGGAGTGGCAGGTGAGTTTCTGGCCTGTGGTCTAAGCCAGAGGCAGGCCAGAGAGATGAAGGATCTCTTAGAGCATCGGCTATACCCTTCCTTGGCCCAGAAAGTCCTTTCCTTCCTGTCTGGGGAGACAGACTAGGCAGGCCCCCCAGAACAGCCCCACTCCAGCCTGACTTACCAGCCCCGGGGGCTGGCCTGGGTCTCTCTGGGCCTGTTTCCTCCTTGCAAAATGGACACGATTCAGCCGACCCTTTTGACCCCTGGAAGACTAGCAAGATCCATTGAGATAAAGCACTCTTTCCTTCGATACCGCTGATTGCTAGAGGAAAGCTGAAAACTGTCACACGTGAGCTAGGGCCGCAGCACATGCAGCCCCACCCCGCCGTGGCCAGCCCAGCCCGTCAGAGGACTCTGAACAAGCCCCGCCCCACCTCTGCGGCGGTCTCCATCTGCACAGAGCACGGCCTGCGTCAGAGCAGTGGTTCTAACCCAGCCGCAGGAGCTGGAGGCAGTCCACCCTGGCATCTGGGGTGGATCGGGACAGGCGCAGGGTGTGAGGTGGAGCGGAGCCAGGTGGGCCGGCCTCCGGCGCCCTCGGCCCCTCAACCCGAGGGGATCCCTTCCTTCTGTTTCATGTGCCACGCTGCTTCCAGCCGTGCTGGGAGATGCAGGTCCCCTGTGTCCCCCTGCTGTGGACAAACAACAGCTACCCAAACTCTGGCCTTTTATTCTGGTTGCTGCCCATGGCTGACCCAGCAGGGGCTACCGAGAGCAGGCCAGTGGTGCACCGGTTCATCCTCACCTCAGCCTCACCCCGTTCCCCTGAGTTGCTCCTCTGAGGTCACACAGCCAGCACTTGTGGGTCTCGGTGCCACCACCCTTGCATCTAACCACCACGCCCCCTGCCTCCCTTCCGGGTGGAGAGGCAGGTCACAGCAAGGCAGGTTGGAAGGAAACGTGACCCAGCGAGCAATTCTCAGTAACTGCAGCAGGCTTAGAACCACCGCTCTGGACCATGTTGTCATTTGCAAAGCATCTTCCACATAGGACTGCAGGTGAGGGCAACGTACCTGGCCTGAGGCGGCCGAGCTAGGGAGGCTGCAGCCAGGACTCGGAGCCAGCCCTTCCGATGCAGAGGAGACAGGGCGCACGCTGGCCCGTGGTAGGACACTGGTTTTCACCTGGGGTGAAAGCCTGGAAGTCAGGGTGCTGTCCTTACCTCCTGAAATGATTTTTCTTAAACCACTGCTGTTAAACTGAACTGTTCCCCGACCCCGGCTGGGGCCCCGCAGGGCATGTGGTGACTAAGTGTTTCTCCTGTTGGCAGAGGGGGCATCCAAGATGGCGACATCATTGTCAAGGTCAACGGGCGTCCCCTGGCAGACTCGAGCGAGCTGCAGGAGGCCGTCCTGAGCGAGTCCCCTCTGCTGCTGGAGGTGCGGAGGGGGAACGATGACCTGCTCTTCAGCATCGTGCCCGAAGTGGTCCTGTGAGGGTGGGGCCCCCCCTCCATCGCCATTGCCAGGGCCTGCGGCCAAGAACAGGTGCCAGCTGAGTGGTTCCGTGTGGAACTGCCACCTCCCGCGGGGTCAGGACGAAGGGCCACAGTCGGTCCTCAGCAGAGCCAGCGGCCTCCTCCTGGCCGTCCAGGGGCAGAGCCCCAGGCTGGGCCTGGGAAGGAGTCCATATCTCAGTCTTGGGGAGCATCAGCTCCCCTACCACAGTGCGCACAGAGGTAGCCCAACGTCCCCTCGGACGAATGCTCCCAGTTCTCGGGGTACCTGGAAGCCTCCTGTAGTTCCCCGGAAGTCCCGCCCTCTCTTCCTTCTCCCTGCCTTTGCACCTGTCCGTACCTCTGTCCAAAATGCCCACCCTCCACTTCGACCTCACCTGCTCATGGCAGCTCCCAAGCCCCTTCTTTCCCAAGAATACCTCCCTGGCCCCCTGGACCCAGTGCCCGCCATGCTGAATGCCCGGGGCCGTCTGCCCGGAGCCCCTGGAGGGTAGACCATGTCTGAGCCCCCAAGGCGCGGACCCTGAGGGGAGGTCCCCTGGCTGTCCAGCCGAGCCCTGCTGCTGCTGATGAGGCCCGCCTCCCCAGGCAAGGAAGAAGCCCGCAGGCAGCAGGGGGTGTCTCTGCTTTTCTTCCCGGAGGGGACCAGGGGCAGCAGGCAGAGGAAGCAGGGGCCTTCCGGGGAGGAGTCTGCAGGACTGACCGGCTCACCTCTGCTGTGTCCTGGGCAGAGCAGCTCTCACGGGATCCCCCCCAGGGCCGCAGGGGAAGGCGCCTCCTCTCCCAGCTGGGAGCACGCGTGTCTCCATGTGTATCTGTGAGCTTCCCTGTACAATCCATTCCCGTGTTGCTTGTACTGTACGTTTCTCTACTGTATGGAAATTAAAGTTTACCAGCACGTGGTCCTTGGAAGCAGGGGCACTTGGGGCGGCTCACCCCTGCCATCCACCGCTTCTCCTGGGACCCGGGGCCCTCACGTCTGTGGGCACCAAGGGCCCTGAGCACAGGGACTTCACCACCATCCGCAGCCCAGCGGCTCAGGTCAGGCTCCGCCACCTGCTCCCAGCTCTGGGGTCTCGGGTAATTCGCTTCCCTTCCCCCAGCCAAGGCCTCTCCCTGCGTGTGGGGTGCAGGCTGACGCTGCCCACCCTGAGCAGTCGGGCGCCTGACCTGCAGGGAGCCTCTGCCAGTGCCTGGCCCGCGATAAAGCTTCTCTGCTTCTGCTCTGTGTCACCCAGCAGTGGGGAAATGAGGCCGGAAGAGACGGAGCTGGGCCCAGGGACTCTGCTGGGAGGGCTGCACGCCGAGCCCTGGGGGCTAGGAGCTTGCCCAGGCTGGTTCCCAGAGTGGGCAGTGGGCTCAGCCACCAGGGCTGAGCGGAAGAGGCCAGGCCTGTGCTCTGGACCACCAAGCCTGGAAGAATCCAGGGCCCCGGGCCCAGCCTGTGCTGGGGATCAGAGTCTGGCCCCTGCCAGGTGGCCTGTGGGCAGCTGTGCCGGCACCTTCTCCCTGGGGGCGGGGGATGGGCGGGGGAACTGCGGGACTTCAAATCCTTCCAGGCTCTGGGCCTGAGCTTCCACGGGTCTCCTTTTAGGTCGGTTTTAGGAGGTGATCTCAGACGGCCATGCAGCATCCGGTTGGTCCCTAGGGCCCTTTCCAGGGGTGCACCACAGGTGATGCTGTGCTCTGCGGCCAGCTGGCTAGAGTGGGGAACCCGACGTAAGAGTAGCCGGCATCCTGAAAGGGGACCGCAAACCATTACAAGCAGCTTTTAATGAAGGTGCCGGGCTACGGCCTCCACCCAGGTTTGCAGTTCAAGGGCTCGGATCATCACATGAGCTGAGCCGCTCCCCACACCCTGGCCGCACCCAGGCACCTCTGGGGAAGGAGGGCCCCGGCACAGAGGCCCCTCCACGCCAGGGTCCTCTCCCACTGGCCTGCCGGCCCTCCCTGATCCCGAGCAGACCTCCCGTCGTGTGCCCTCCCTCCTCTCACAGCCCACCCCACTGCCAGCGTCTTCTGCAAAAGTCAGAGCCTGGCCCACACCGTGGGGCTGCCCACCTTCCCAGCCCCCAGCCCTCTGCTCCCACCCAGAGTGGGCCAAACCCAACCGGCCTGTGCCAGCTGCACCCGGGTCTAGGAGAGTCACGCTCCCTGAAGTCCATCCACTGCTGGCCCTCTGCCTTCCACATGCAGCCACTGCCCCTCCCTCTTTGGCTGCCCTGAGGATGTACTCAGCAGCCTCGTGGCCCACCTCCGAGTAAGGAGCCCAGTCTGAGACCCATCTCCTCTCTGAAGGTGAATGTGCCAGGGCCTGCCTGGCTCCAGTAAGTGCTGAGAGAAACGTCACAAGGACGTTCCTGACTCAGCGCCTGGCCTCCAAGATCCCCCAAATTGTCACTTTGCATCTTCTCACTCCCTGCCACCAGCCCCTGAGTGACCATGACCAGGTCCCCGCCCCAGGGTGTCCACATGGGAAACGGGAGGTGGGCAGTGAGGTCTCTGAGCTCGGCAGACAGCCGGGCCCGGGCTGAGGTCTCGGCTTTGCCCTCTAAGGCTGACCTTGGGGCCTCTGCTCTGCAGCCAGGGAGGCCTGAGGTGCCACCTCCTAGGAAGGAGGGACCCCTCACTTGACGCTGGGGGCTGCTGTCCTGCCCACCCCAGCTGGGCCTGCAGAGGTGGCAGTGGGCTCTGTGGTGTCCAAGGCCCCTGTCCTCTGCCAGCCACCTCCCCCAGCCCCCCCACCCCCTGCTGGGCGGAGTTAGCCCCCCAGCTGCTCCTCCAGCTGTACTCTGTGAAAAGCAACTTTTTCAGAGACTGCCAGCTGCCCACGATATTGAGGATGCAGTCCTCCCTACTGGGTGTTCAGCCCTCCCCGCTCTGTGTCCTGGACACTGTGCGTGGGGTGCCGATAGGGCCAGTGCGCTCAGCGGGGAGCAGGTTGTTCCGGCTGGGAGGTCTCTCCATAAACAACTGGGGCCCTGGGACGGGGCAGGAAGGAGCCTCACACGTGCTGGAGTCCAAACGCCCCACAGGACAGAGGCGGGAGCTGAGGCCCAGACTGGAAACTGGGGGTCACGTGGGAGCCGGTGGCCGGCCTCCTGGGGAGCAGGCTGGGCTGGCGTGGACAGCTGTGTGCTGCCTGAGCGCCTGGGGCTCAGCCAGGAGCTGCAGGAGGGGAGTCACCCTAGGGTGGCAGGCCTGCGAGCCATGGCATCTACCTTCCGGAGTCCCTCGCTGCCCCCGGGGGATGGCTGGATCCAGAGCACGGGGACCCAAGAGGGCATTCTGGAGTGGGTTAGACTTGCGAGAAGCAGCAGGGCCCCTAGCACCATGATGCCAGCCTCCAGCCGTGCCCTGGGGAGCTTGGGCCCACCCACAGTGCCCCAGCTCCGCGCCCATGGAGAAGTGACCGCCCTGAGGCCGCCTGCTCTGGGCCCACGTCCAGTGCCCAGCGGGTCTTCAGGCTCCAGGCTGCCCCCCCCCCACTTGTCTTCTGCAGCCCCACCCCTGTGCCACCCGCTTCCTCTGCCTGGAGCACCCCCCGGCCCAGCACCGGCTGTCTTCCCACTGACCATCCACAGCATAACACCCAGGACTGAGAATGTCACCTCATGTGGCCAAAGGGACGTTGCAGCCGTAATCACACAAAGGATCCTGAGATGGGCTCTCCTGGGCGGCCCAGTGGACCCTTATCGGAGGAAGGTGGGAGGGCCAGATGCTTGCTCACAGTGGCAGCCACAGCTGGGCAGACAGGAGGGAAGGACTGAAGAGCAGGGCCCTGGAAAGGGGAGGAAGTGGTCCCCCCGGGGCATCCAGGAGGGGCCGGCTCTGCCCACACTTCGCCTCTAGCCAGTGGCACTGACTCTGATGCCCTCACACAGTGGACACAAACTGCAGGGGGTCACGAGCTGTCCCCAGACAGCTCCCTCTACCTCGTCAGGCCCAGCGGAGAGGTCAGAGGCTGGCCAGCTGTAGAATGCCCAGCTGACCTGTGCGAATCCCCCAGACTGCAGCCCTGGCCCCTCCAAGCCCAGGTATAAGTGTACCCAGGATATGATAGCACACACACATGTGCACACACACACCGCACCCTGGAGCATGCACACACGCACAAGTGTATATGCTGCACACATGGGTCCTTGTCAACATTTTTCTTTCCGTAAGTCAGGGCTACACCCACTTTTCTTGGGTACAACGTCTTCCTTGTTTATAAATTTCTTTCTCATTTTGTCTGAAATGTTTCCTCAAGTAAATGTTTTCAATGGGGCACAGGGGTGTGAACGGAGAGCTGACATGCTGGAGGCATCTTTACTTTTTGACAGTCCTTTTTATTGTGAAGTGTGACACACATACACAGAGGTGTCCAAACTGACCAGCTGCACGTGTTAGAAAGCAGCCCCATCACGGCCCCAAGTCGGGAAACCCACGGCTGATGGGGCCCAGATGCCCCCAGCCCTCCCGTGAGGTCACCAACTGCCTCACTGCAGAAACCACTGCCCCACGCCTCACGGTTAGCCGCCCGCGCCTGCACCTCTGGGCACCAGCTGATAAGTGTAATGGGCTCCTTTGTGTCAGCTTCTTGGGCTGAATGTTGTGCCCGTGGGAAGCATCGCCGAGTGTGGCTGTTGTCTGACGACTCCCATCTCTGTGTAACATCCGGTCCACGCACCGCCTGTCCCCCACAGACAGACATCCAGCTGTTTCCAGCTTGGGGTGGTGGCCTCTGTGCAGATGTGAGCAGCTGCGTATGTGTCTCCAGTGACTTGTGCTCATTTCCGTGGGTGTATTTCTAGGAGTGAAACAGCTGAGTCATTGGGTGCATGTCTACTCCATTTTGGCAGAAATAGAAGCTCTGTGAAGTGGTTGTACTAGTTTGCACGCCCCCCAGCAGCGCACGAGACTTCCCACGGCCCCGAGCCCTCCCGGCACTTCCTGTGGTCAGCCTGGAGTCCAGGGTTCCGCGGGCATGGAGCCACGGCTCTTGATTTCAGTTTGCAGTTCCATGACTACTGTGAGGTCGGGAACCTTTTCAAATATTTATTGTCACTGAGATCTCTTGTGCAGTTCCTTCCAAGTCTTGCCTGTTACTCTCTTGATTTGCCTTTTTAAAAATTCTGTGGTAGTTTCTCTACTTGTGGTAGGAATGCCCACTTTTCAGTTTAATGTGCTGAAAATACCTCTCTCTCCAGGAAGCTTGCATTGTCTCTCCAGATGGTGTCCTTTGGTGAATAGAAGCATTTGTTTTATAGCCCGGTTTACCAATCATTTCCTTTATACCTAGTGCTTTTCATGTCTGACTTAAAGAGTGCCTTCCTGCCTTAGGACCCTGCCTCCCTGTTACCTTCCGGAAGCCTTTATTCTTTAACATTTTACATTTACATATACAGTCCACTGGATTTGACTTCTGCGAGTGGTGCAAAGGAGAGGTTGTTTTATTTTCCCCTGTGGACGTATGGCTATTTAACTATCCATAAACCATTATATAAAAGGCAGTTCTTTCCTCCAAGCCCCCATATATGTGTTGGTCCGTTTCTGGACTCGTTTTTCCTATTTCCTACTCAACCTTCTCTCTGTCCCTGCCCCAAGGCCACACAGTCCTAATCACTTCAGCTGTGGGACATGATTTGTTTATCGAGTACAGGGAAACCATCCACGTGGTGGTTTTCCTTCAAGGGTGCTTAGCTATTCTTGACTCTTTCTTGCTCCTCATATATTTCAGAATAAGTTCATCAAGTCCCACCTCTTATGAACTTGACTATAATGGCATTGAATCTATACATCATTTCAGAGAGAGGTAACGTTTATGATATTCAGGTTTCTAATACATGAACGTGGGTATTCCCCCACTTATTTAAATTTTCATTCATTTCTCCCAATAATGTTGTATAGTTCCTTGTGTAGATAGCTTATGTTTGATTTATAAACAGTATCTTTTGAATTTTGTAAGTTTCTATTGCTGATATGTAGACTTGTTTTTGTGATTTCTTCTTCTTCTATGATTTTTTTTAACACTTGGCCTTATATCCTGCAACCTTGCCAACATCATTTGTTAATTCTTACAATTTATCTATAGATTATTTTGTATTTTCTGCATACTCAATCACATCATCTATAAATAATAAGTTTTATTTAATCCTTTCCAAGCCTAATGCCTTTTACTGCTTTTTCTTGCCTTAGTGCGCTGGCTAAAACCTCTAGCTCAGTGTCACGTAAAAATGAGAGCGGATATCTTAAATTTGTTCCTGATCTCAAAAGAAAGCTTTCAATATTTCATCATTAAGCATAATGGTTGCTGTAGGTTTTTTCTAGTTACCCTTTATCAGCTTAAGAAAGGCCCCTTTTATTCCTGATTTGCTAAGAGCTTTGCTATGCATGAATTTTGAATTTTAACAGAAGACTTTTCAGCTTTTACTAAAATGACTAAATGATTTCCTCGTTTGTTCTGTTAATATAATGACATACATTGATTTTGGAATATTTTAACAAACGAGTTACTGGACAAAATGTAATTTTGTTATGCTGTATTATCTTTTTTTATATTCTTGTTAATATTTTGTTTGAGATTTTTGGGCTCGTAAGTGCAACAGATCTGTAATTTTCCTTTTTCCTAATGATCACATTGACGTTTGTCCTCAAGATTATTCTGATCTCATAAAATGAGTTGCTCAGTGCCTACCCTTTCTGTTTTCTTGGAAAGTTAGCATAAGATTGGTATCATTTCTCTTAAATGTTCGTAGAATTTAAGAACAGACATGTATTAATGGAGTTTTCTTTGTAAGCGGAGATAATCATAATTCCCACCTGGGAATTGATTAGCAAAACACTTTAAACGGTGCCTGGCATATGATGCACACTCAAAATACGTCATCAGCTGTGGCCTATTAATCTCTGGTTCCCAGCTTCTTTGCCTTTGGCCTCAGAACTTAGGGATGGTTTCCTTGACTCGTCCCATTCATTCTGTGTATCTTTTCCATAAAATCTTATTCTCAGGCTGCCCCTCCTTTTGCTGTTTTTGTAGTAACCCGTCTTTGTGGTCTGGATGCCAGATCTGTGGGGCTCACGATCAGTGCCCCTAAGCCGGCCTGACAGCACTGAGCTCGGTTCCCTGCGGGTCAGCTGCTTGCCCGGCCCGGCCCTCCCCTGGCCTGGCCGCTTCCCCTCCGCTTGGCCCTGTTTGTCTGCCGGAACATGTGCTGTGGCGGCTGCACTAACTCACGTGGCTACATCACACCACATGGGTCTCCTCTGCCAGCTCCAGCCTCTCCGGGAAAGTGAAGCTGACCTCGATCTGTGGGTGCAGGGCAGAGGCGTCCACTGGCAGGCTTCCCTGAGGGTGTGCAGGGGGGCGCGGCAGAGAGCTGCCTTCCTCGGCCTGGAGACAAAATGCGGAGCACCTACCTCCCTGCGGAGTGCCAGTCCCTCCCGCAGCGGCAGCCGGTCGGCGTCCCCAGAGCTGCTGGACGGCTTCTCCACACGCCTGGCTGGCTCGGGTCAGCAGCCAGCAGGGGTCGGGCCCGTCCCCTGGATTCATCCCGCTCTTGCGGCCCCAAACCTGCAGCCCCAGGTGGCCCTGCGGGGGGCCGGCCCTCCTGGCACCTCGGCTCCTCTTCTGCTTTCCGTCGGCTGCGGCCCCTCCACGCCCAGCTGAGTTTGCCTTCCAGTGACTCACAGAGTGTCAGCATCTCCTGTCCGTCTGTGCACCCCCTTCAGGCCCGAGCAGCTCTGCGTATCCTTTCCCCAGGCACCTCCCTGCTGCCCCGTCTGTGGGACAGGGAGAGGGGAGGGGAGGGAGGCACACACGCACGCCAGGATTGCCTCTTAAATAAGAAGGCATTTAGTTTTATTTCTAGATGTCTCACTGGAGGCCCCCCCGAGGATCTGCCGGACACCATGGGAGAAGGCACAGGGCAGGGTGGGGGCACGGACTCCCGGGAGGACCTAGTCCAAACCCTGGCTCTGTCAAGGGTGGTGAGCTCTCTGAGCCTCAGTGGGTGGGGGCTTTTGGTATGCGTCTCACAGAGCTGTTGCAACAGCGACCCGACCACCCTTCCTCTACCCAGAGCAGATCTTGGTGAAGTTAGAAGAAGCCGCTCATTCCTTAAGACCCTTTCCTGCCATTTCCCAGGAATTACAGTCATAGATACACAGATCTACTCGGACCTGGAGTATGAGTCGCACCGTCCAGCTGTGGGCCATGTGCTGCGACATAGTGCTTTGACTCGTCCCATTCATTCTGTGTATCTTTTCCATAAAATCTTATTCTCAGGCTGCCCCTCCTTTTGCTGTTTTTGTAGTAACCCGTCTTTGTGGTCTGGATGCCAGATCTGTGGGGCTCACGATCAGTGCCCCTAAGCCGGCCTGACAGCACTGAGCTCGGTTCCCTGCGGGTCAGCTGCTTGCCCGGCCCGGCCCTCCCCTGGCCTGGCCGCTTCCCCTCCGCTTGGCCCTGTTTGTCTGCCGGAACATGTGCTGTGGCGGCTGCACTAACTCACGTGGCTACATCACACCACATGGGTCTCCTCTGCCAGCTCCAGCCTCTCCGGGAAAGTGAAGCTGACCTCGATCTGTGGGTGCAGGGCAGAGGCGTCCACTGGCAGGCTTCCCTGAGGGTGTGCAGGGGGGCGCGGCAGAGAGCTGCCTTCCTCGGCCTGGAGACAAAATGCGGAGCACCTACCTCCCTGCGGAGTGCCAGTCCCTCCCGCAGCGGCAGCCGGTCGGCGTCCCCAGAGCTGCTGGACGGCTTCTCCACACGCCTGGCTGGCTCGGGTCAGCAGCCAGCAGGGGTCGGGTCCGTCCCCTGGATTCATCCCGCTCTTGCGGCCCCAAACCTGCAGCCCCAGGTGGCCCTGCGGGGGGCCGGCCCTCCTGGCACCTCGGCTCCTCTTCTGCTTTCCGTCGGCTGCGGCCCCTCCACGCCCAGCTGAGTTTGCCTTCCAGTGACTCACAGAGTGTCAGCATCTCCTGTCCGTCTGTGCACCCCCTTCAGGCCCGAGCAGCTCTGCGTATCCTTTCCCCAGGCACCTCCCTGCTGCCCCGTCTGTGGGACAGGGAGAGGGGAGGGGAGGGAGGCACACACGCACGCCAGGATGGCCTCTTAAATAAGAAGGCATTTAGTTTTATTTCTAGATGTCTCACTGGAGGCCCCCCCGAGGATCTGCCGGACACCATGGGAGAAGGCACAGGGCAGGTTGGGGGCACGGACTCCCGGGAGGACCTAGTCCAAACCCTGGCTCTGTCAAGGGTGGTGAGCTCTCTGAGCCTCAGTGGGTGGGGGCTTTTGGTATGCGTCTCACAGAGCTGTTGCAACAGCGACCCGACCACCCTTCCTCTACCCAGAGCAGATCTTGGTGAAGTTAGAAGAAGCCGCTCATTCCTTAAGACCCTTTCCTGCCATTTCCCAGGAATTACAGTCATAGATACACAGATCTACTCGGACCTGGAGTATGAGTCGCACCGTCCAGCTGTGGGCCATGTGCTGCGACATAGTGCGCAGATGGGCGCTAGGCTCCAGCTCACAGCAGGCACCCCAGAGCTCGCTGGTTCCTACTCCTGGTTCAGAAGATAAATTCTTTCTAGGTGGACCCTCTGTTCCTCGGTTCTCCTTCGGCTGACAGCTTTCCCAGGGTTCCTAGCCCTCACGTAGGCATGGGGAACCGTTCCCGCAGGCTGGGCTGGGACACCTGAGTCTCTGAGTGGCAGTTCCCCGCTACATGCAGATACACTCATACACGTGGGGAACGTGCCCACAGACGCTCCCCCCACCTTCCTGGGCTGAGCTCTGCGCACACCCCCCACCTAGGGACACAAACATGAAGAGCCCAAGCCCAGCAAGCTGCAGGCCACTGCAGGCAAGGCGGGGGGGGAGAGGCCCTTTGTATATTTTTGTGCTCACTGAAATAAAGCAGTAAAGATGGTCTTTTAGATAAATAGAAGGTCGTTGACCCAAATCACCATGTGACTGAGGAATCGGTTTGTTTGCCACCCTCCTGCCTGCCCAGTTCTACAGCGGTGACTCGGTGACTCGGGTGCTGAGGAGCATCCCTCTGGGGCTGCTCCTCCCCAGACTTCTGGGCCAGCCTCCCCTGCTCCCCACGCAGGCCCACCGGGCACCTGGGTGACTGCGTGTCTGAGCGGCTTTGGACAAATCCACTCCACAGTCAGCCCCAGGCCCGGCACCACCGCTGGGCCTGACCCCTGCTGCCTGCTGAGGCCCCTCACCTGCACACACCTGGCTTCCTCCGGCAGCTCCAGGCCCAGGCTCACTGGCAGGCTCATCTCAGGAGTCGCTTGTCATGACCTTTCCATGGACTTGCTGATTCCCTGAGAGGTTCACAGAACCATATCCTGGAAACAGCCCCAATGTCCATGCACGGAGGGACAGATAGACCAGATGGGGTCTGTCTGCACAGCGGGATATATACAACCTTAAAAAGGAAGGAGATTCTCACCCAGGCCTCAACACAGGTGAGCCTGCAGGACAGGATGCTGGGTGACATGAGCCAGTGCCCGACGGACAGACCATGCGGCCCCACTGACACAGGCCCCTAGAGGAGCTGCTGAGGACAGACAGGAAGGAGGGCGGTGCATGTTGGGCTGGGCCGTGGTGGGGACTGGCATCTAACGGGTGCAGCGTTTCAGGTGGGGAAGATGGAAAGACTTCTCGGGAGGGAAGGCAGGGTGGCTGCACAGAGATGTGAGCGTACTCAGTGCCACTTACCCAGGCACTTAAAAATGGTTAAGACAGCACATTTTATGTATTTTACCATAATAAAAAAATCTTAATTGTAAAAATGGTAAACTTTATGTTATGTGTGTTTGTCCCACTTTTAAAAGGGAACTCTTCTGGGCACATTGGCACAGCCTTTGTGCAGGAAAACAAGACCCATCTGTTTGCCCCTGGTGGGTGTGGCACTGTGCTCTGCTTTCTGACGTCAGTAAAGACAGTCGTGTGCGGAGCCCTGGCCACCTCCAGCCATGGGTGGGGGCGTGAGCCGCCTGGGCTTCGGTGTGCTGCTCGCAGTGACCCTGGATGGGCGCACTGGCCTCATCCCTGGACGCGCATGGACCGCCCCGGCTCCCCATCAAACGTGGCAGCGTGAGAATTATGTCCCGGCCTCTGACCCTGGAGCCTAAGGCCTGACTACCACATTGTCCAGCCCCCCTGGGCCTCAGTTTCCCCCGGAGGATGAAAAGCTTTATTCATTCACTGCATACCCAGTCTCTCCTGAGTGAGTTGTCTAGATGGGCCTAAGAAATCATAGAGATGACCACCACAGTGGTCCCTGGCCTCAAGGGACTCTCCGTCAGGCAGAGAAGGCGTCTCGGTGTTATCACTGCTCTGAGAGAGGAAGCACCCGGCATGGCCTGGCGAGCAGAGCGTGCCTCCCAGACGAGGGGGCATCGGAGCTGGCCGGTGGGGAGATGAATGGGAGGAGGAAGTTCTGCAAGAGGTAGAATAAGGTCATGGAGAAATTAAATCTCTAGTCTTTGGGGTTCAACAGACTTAAATTCAAATGCAAGGTTTCCTCCTTATTAGCTGGCAGGGCAAATAACCTGGCCTCTGTGAGCCTCATCTGTGAAATGAGACACTAGTGCGTCCATCTCCTGAGGTGGTTCTGGAGAGCAGGAGAGGACGCAGGTGAATAGCACTGCCCCGCCCACAGCGAGCACACGGCGAGCGACGTGGGGCTAGTACGGTTCCTGCGTTACTAAGATGGTCCCAGCGGTCCTCCCAACTCCACAGCCAATGCCTTTCTAGCTCAGAGAAGTAGTGACAACAATAACAAACTATCCCGGGCACACTCACTCCAGCGAGTCGGATCTGCCTTCTCTCTCCCTGGCACCATGGTCTGCCCCAGTACAAAGTTGCCTTTTTTGTGAGAGTAACTTCAAGATGCTTCTATGTGCGTTTTTATGCTGTGTTTGGGGCGGAAGCAGCGATGTGTCAGGTCGTCCGAGGGCTGGTCCGCAATCCGGCCTCCATCCCCTGGAAGCCTCTGTCTCTGCCTACAGACCGTGTCATCCACAAGTAGGGCCGTTTTCTGTTTCGGTGTCTCGAGAGGGCCTGCTCATGGACGGGGTCCAAGTTGGCCACTATTTTGACAGTGTGTTTGCATTTGGAGCTGAACTGGGTCCAAAAATAGGTCTGGGAGAGGTGGCTGCCCAGACTGGTATTCTGTGTGGCCAGCAGCAGGTTTGGGGCTCAGGACGGGGCTCCAGCTGAGAATGTGGGGGGAGCACTTGCAAGACCCTCTGTGCCTGTTCCCTCACCTGTAAAATGAGGAAACCATCTATCCTGGGGGCTTTGGGAGGATGTGTGACAGGCAGGGGGAAGCCGGTGTTCATGGAGCTCCTCTGAGGAAAGCGGCCTGAGAAGGTTTTTCCGTGACTCTCCAAGGATGGTCACGGCTGGTCTTGGCCACACAGTGCAGCAGGCCCAGGATGGCCTGAGACAAACCCACCCAGCTAGGGTGCCCCCCCCTCCACAGGAAGCCCCATGCAAGTCAAAGCCCCTTGTTTGAGAGGACACCCGCCGAGCCCCAGGAGAGCCCACCTTGGCATTAGGTGCCAGCTGCCCAGCTGCTGCTCTGATGGTTCCTGAAGCAGGAACAGCTGCACCAGGGTGGCTGAGGCCAGCAAGAGGCCTCAGGGTGGAACCCACCAGACGTGACAAGGTGCATCTCCTCCCAACTCCGTGGTCACTGGAGTCACATCAGTAGCTTGACAGAGATACAGGGGAGAATTCACAGCG